GAAGAATAAAAGTGTACATAGATATTTTAGAAACACATAAGCTCAGAAAAAATTAAAGCAGCCAATTCCATTGCAGAGGTGAAGGCAAAGGCCCATTTTAGTAACTAAAGAATGGGCCATAAAGCCAGCATGAGCCCATGAATTAAACTGAGAGCACACACCTGAACAGGACACAGTCTCCTCTGTTTGGTCTCCTCCAACCTTGGAGAAGTCTAGAGTTCATGACTGGCCTCCACGCTGGGCCCCTCCCAAGGGCTGAGCTTGTCCTCACAGTAGTTTCTTCTGCCATCCTTTCTCTCCCCTCCTCCATCTCCACATCCCTATTAGGAATCCATTCACTCAAAAGGGCTTCCTCTACAGCTAGAGGTTTACTTCCCTCTTAACTAGGCCCTGGTAATTGACAAAAAGATAGCACGCTATCTCAAAGGGGAAAAAAGAAAATGTTATCACTTCCTCCACACTGAAACTCAGACACACAGATAGCCAACACACAGATTTACCAAGCGTGTCATACTGCATTTGCATTTCAGCCAAGAGAAAGCACAAATGCAACAGGAGAACCCTAAGATGCTCACCCATCAGTAGAGGGAACTAAAACACCCTCTCTGGTCACTGAGGCCATAACTGAAACAGGCATAGCTGTTCAGGTCTCTAAAACATGACAGGGCAAATAAAGAATCATTCTCAAGGCTCCCAGGGCCTCACTAAGCCTCTGAGTAATGACGGGCCAGCCTGCGGCCCCTCTATGTCACTGTGTGTCAATGACCTCACTGCCTGTAAGGTTAACATTGGCTACTGTGCGCCAGTTACAGATGTGGACTGACGCTACCTAGGCATTAACCCATTTAATTCACGTAGCGAGCAACTGAGCTGGATACTACTACCCCCACATCACACATGAGGAAACTCAAGCCTTGAGAGGTGGAATAACTTGCTCAAAGAGACACAGTGATGGGCCAGGGATTTAGCTCAGTGGTTTCACCACCTGCTGCGCAAGTGCAAGGACCCGAGTTCAATCCCCAGTACCAAAAAAAAAAAAAAGATACACAATGAGAAAGTAGCAGAGCCAGGACACAAAGCCAAGGAGCCAGTTCTCCAGGCTGTGTTCCTAGTTAACCACTCCTCTAAACTGCCTCCAGACATTTCTGATATCACCACTTTCCTCGAATTCACTGAAAGGAGGCTCCCAGGCAGGCATCAAGAGACAGCTCCCAGGAGATAACTGGAGTCTCACTGCCTCTGCCTGCACCCATATATTTACTTCTGGGGCTCCCACCAGGTGGAGGCTGCATTCCAGATAGCTTTTTGCTCACATCTCCCGATTGCTCTTGCACTGAAGATGCATATCCCTTTCAAGAGGACATATAAATGTCTGGTCCACTCTTTCCACCCCAGAGAGAGGCAGATGTTCTTCATGCATCACCGCCTCTCTCTATTCTCTACGATAAAACATGGATGAGCTGAAAGTCATTGGCCAATGCAGCACTGGCATAAGGAGAAAGGGGAGCAAAAGGAAAAGCAGAGAATGAATTAAGATTATGTTAGCAAGTGACTATCACCCTTCAGGCAAATACAAATGAACACCACAATGAAGATATTACTTCTAATCCACTTGGATGGCAAAATAAAAAAGACATAAGAAGAAGCATTGGTGAGGATGTAGAGAAACTGGAATCTTCATGCACTGCTGGTGGGGATATGAAATGGCTTAGCTGCTTTTAGAAAAAAAAACAACTCCCTGACAATTCCTCAAAAGGTTAAACTGTAGAGTTACCATACAACCCAGAAATTCTACTTGGTGGAATATACCCAAGAGAAATGGCCACACAAAAATTTCTACACAAATGTTCATAGCAGCATCATTCATAAAAACCAAACAGTGGAAGCAGCCTAAATGCCTGTCAACTGATGAACAGGTTTCGTTTCTGCAGTGTTGGGGATTGAACCTAGGGTCACACACATACCAGGCAATGGATGAATAGATAAATAAAATGTGGGGTATCTGTGCAATGGAATATTTGGCAGTAAAAAGTAAAAATGACATACACTGCAATCTTAACGGACCTTGCAAACAAAGAACCCAGTCACAAAAGTCTAATACATGAGTCCATTCATATAAAATGAACAGAAGCGACAAATATATAGAGATGCAAAGTAGATTAGGGTTTGACTAGAATAGGAGGTTAGGGGAATAACTGCTAGCAAGTACAGCAGTTTTGTTTTTGTTTTTGTTTCTGTTTTTTTGAATTAGTGGTGATGGCTACAAAACTCAGCCAATACACAAAGAACATTGAGTTTTACTCTTAAGTAACTGAATTGAAGAGTATGTAAATTATATCTCAAGGCCGCTTATAGTAGGAGAAACAATGTGACTTGTTGTAAAGAAAAACAAGTAGGACAGGCCAGGAGAATCTGTCTTTGTGAACGAGAAATCATAACTGCAAATGTGGCAAGAACTCAAAACTATTTATATGGGGAAGGAAAAAAGTGAAAGAAAGGGTTTATATAAAAGAGAAAAGAAAATAATTTTTATTTTATTGAATTTCAAGATATTGGGTGTAGGGTCATGTCACAGGAAATGCACAAATAGTATGTGATAGTCTGCATACCTCCAAATCGAGACCTTCTCACCTGAAAGCCATCAGCTCCAAAAATCAAAGATCTACAGAGGTGATTTGGCAGCAGCTTTTTCATTTTTCTAAATGTTTGGGAGACTGAATTTAAAAGGCCACAACTATAATGGTCTCGTGGCATACTGCAACACAAGCTTACACAATAAGAATATTTGATTAATATCTAAAGTGTATAGCATTTCTTAAAGTGAATTTAGAAATCTGATTTGCATTTAGCTACAAAAAGTAAAGCTTTGAAATACTGGAACCAAATAGAAGACACTCACAGCTAGACCAATGCTTGCCCTATTTGAGATTCAGTCAGAGTTTGGGAGCCCAGGGAGGGGTTACCTCCTTATAATGAGACACTAGAAATCAATGCAACCTCCAACTAATGTGGCAAAATGTCAAAAGGTAACATGGAATTTCATAGCTGTAACAGTAACACATCATTGGAAACAGAGCTAGAATTTCCTTTACATTCTTCTAGCCTCTAACTTTCAAACCTTTTATTCCCATTATGTGTCAAGCATGATTTGTGTGGAAAATCAGCTTACTGCTTTCATTAAGAACAGGCAAGCCATTAATTGATCCAATGTGCTGGCAGTTCTGGGAAACCTTTTGAGACAGGAACAAATGATGCTCTTACTTTGTACTCAAAGAAACTTAGTTTAAGATTTCAGGCTCATGCAGAAAGAAACATTTAAAGAATCCTCTAATGCCAGCTGACAAGATTAGAGTTTAAGGAAGTTAAGAAAACCTCCTTCATAACTCCTTCGCTCCTCTTGAATCTAAATTTTCATTATTAAGTAATATGCTTTAAAGATACTTTACATGACTTTAAGTGCTCTTTCATAGTTCTAACATCCTGAGATAGCCAGTTCAAGTCCTACTCTTCTGATTCAAGGTTAGACAATCTTGTCCCCTAGAAAACTGTTTCGCTCAAGGAAATATGCATCAAATGTTTCTAAAGTGATGCATGGTAACCTTTCTACAAAACTAAAAACTACCTCTCCTCTTTATTAACACGTTGCATTTTTTCTGGCCTGTGGTTTAAGTCTTAACGGTTCCCCTCCCACCTGTTTGTGTTAAAGTTGACAAAGTTCCTTGACTAAAGCAGCCGGCTTCGATTACGATTACTGAGGCAAGCCAATTGTATCCGGATCTCACTAGTAGGTGACCTGAGCCCTCAGAATGGAAACTTGTTCCAATGAGGACACCTGTGCGAATGCAGCCAGCTCTTGCTGTTCCATTTCAGTAGCCTGTTTATTAAAATCTGCCTTTTAAAGAAAAACAGTACTTTTGATTAAGCTACACCACTCAGAAAAGGCATATTTCATTTCTATGCCCTCTTTTCCCCTTGGGAGCTCTGGGAGAAAGAAGGGCTCATTTCTCAGGCACCTGTAGGCAGCAGTAACCCTGGATTCAAGAAGGCTAGTTTGCTAGAGCTACCAGCTTATGCCAGCCAACCTGAATAATCGTTGTTCTTTTTTTTTTTTTTTTCCTACCACAGAAATATTGCATGTGTCAGGCACGAAGTGTTTTCGAGTTGACTTTTGGGGTAGTAATGTACCTCGAGTCCCGACACTTGTGTCCATTCATAAAAGCTTAATCTTTCTATGTCGAAGTCGCTCGTTCTCCCCAGAAATAAAACTTTCAGCATAAACTCCCGACCATGCGAAGGACACAATGCAACACGGGAAAAGTACAGTAGTTGTAAGTTTATGTCCACTTCGCTCTTCCTGGTTGGTTGAGGACTGTTATTATTTACCCATCGTGCCACATTGTGACACAGCCTGGCAGAGCAACGGTACTTTTAATATTATTTATGATGTGCATAGACCCAGCAAGGGGGTTGGAGACTTATTCAGCTCCCCCAAGAGCTGAGAGCTAATTTGGAGAAGCCAACTCGCGGCGGGGGAGCTGCTAGCAGGTAACCCTACCCCCCTCCGGATAGAGGTGCCCTGGATAGACCAGTGCGCACGCAAGGCTACACCTGATGCGCATACCCCAGTGCAGGGCTGAGTTATCAGATCCACCGGTTCCGAGCAGGTGCGGGGCCTGTCGCTAACAAGCACGATACCGAGTCCCGTCCTCCAAAGCCCGAGTTCTCCTTGGAAAAGTCAGCCCACCCGGGCGAACCCTGTCTCCGAGCGGCGTTATGCCAAGCTCTCCTGCACTGCCCGCCACACAGTGAATCCGCTCCCCTTCGGAACCCTCTCCTCCCCACCCTCACCCCGAAGTAACGCGGAGCAAAACTTAAGCAGGTCAGAGGCGCGTCCTGCGTGAAGCACGGACTTTGCAGAGAGGAGCGGCCAGGCAGGCGGGCGCTGCCGGACGCTCCCGGGCTCCCCTCCCCCGCGCGCCCCGCACCCCCAGGGCCCTCACCTGTATCGGGCATGGTGATGGTCTCGTTGGTGTTGGAGCCCACGTTGAAGATGACCACGGCAGAGGCGTTCTGCAAGAACGCGTTCCGGATTTTATCCCTGTACGTGCAGTTGCCCTTGGGTACGAGGGCGATCCAGCTCTTGCCCTGGGGCGGCGCGGCGAACTTGGTGTTGGGGTCACAGGCCAGGCGGTCGTGGGCCGAGCTGGCCATGACCACCTCCCCGCGGGCGTCCTGCTTGGGCGAGTGCTCCCCGTAGCGCCCGCACTCGGACTTCTCGGTGCGCAGCTCCGCGCCGCCGGCCCCAGGGTCCGGCGCGGGCTCGGCGTAGGTGATGTTCACGAAGGCAGTGTACCATTCCTCCTTCTCGGCCACGGTGAAGTCCAGGCACAGCAGATGCACGAAACAAAAGGAAAGCAGCCATGTTGAGAGGGCCAGGCTGCGGCACGCTTGGATGAGAGACATTGCCATCTCCAGCCGCCGGGGTCCCTGCCCGCGCCCTGCGCCCCGCTCCCGCCCCGGCCGTGCCTCCTCCCCGGCCCGGCCAAGCCCGGCCGCTGCTTCTCCTCCTCCGGCCGCCGCCGCCGCCCACTCCCGGGCTCCAGGGGCCGCGGCCGGGGCGCGCGGCCGCCGCGGGGATCGGATTCCGGGCGAGCGGGTGGCGCGGGCCCCGGCGCCTCTTAAGCACAGCGCGGCGGCCGCATTTTGCTTCCCGGCCGAGCGGGGGGTGGGACGGGAGGGGGCGCCCCCAGCTTGCGGAGGAGTACGGCTGCCGAGCGTCCCGCCGCTCCGCGGGCTTCTCCTCTCATAGGGGTGGCGGCTCTGCGCCCTCGGTCCCGGCCCCCGAGCGCTGGAGCGAGCGGGTCCGGGTGCAGCCCCCGGGGCAGGGTCGTGCACGCTGCGCTCCGGGCCTCGTGGTGGCTGCGCGGGTCGCACACTTGCCGCGGGAGGGGCCGGCTCCGGAGGGGAGTGCGCGGCCCGTGTGTGTGTGCGCGCGTGTCTGTATATGTTTGTGTGTGTATAATGTGTGCGTGCAAGGAGGAGCTTAGCGTGATGTCAAAGCAGCTGGGTTTCTCTAGCCACGCTCGAGGAGCCTCTCTTCCTGGGCAGCAGCGACCCCTGCCGGGTCTCCAGTTGATCCTCAATCGGCCACTTGCTCTCCAGTTGAGGCCAAAAGGGGAAGCAACTCTTTGACCTCTGAGTACAGAACAACTTCCTGCGCCGTAAATATAGCGAAAAGTGTGTAGCTTTTGTAAACAGCCCTCTCATTTGCTGGAAGAACTACACTGAGCACCCTCCCGGGGTTAAGCGTAAGGCTGGTCGATCTCGGAGTCCTTCCAACGCCAGCCACTTGGGGAATATCTAGGATAGTGGCTACCAGACTTTAGTTTTAAAACTCGGACTGATGTGCTGGGTGTGGTGGTGAACACCTGTGATCTCAGCACTCTGGGTAGATTGAGGCAGGAGGATCTCAAATTCAAGCCTAGCCTGGGTGCTTTTGTGACTTAGGCCTGTCTCAAAATGAAAATAAAATAAAAATTTAAAAGGCTGAGGATATAGTCCAGTGAGGGGGCCCTGGGTTCAGTCTCCAGTAACCCAAGCTAAAACCAAAATGCTCATGTTAGACCCTGCCACAGTGGAGTTTCTGGTGTAGTACGTATTCTGGGCAGGCCCCCGTTTCTAACAAGTTCCCCAGTGTGGCTGAGGCTATGGGAACAGGATTCTTTCCTCCCATCTGGACCCAAACACGTGACAGTTGTTTTCTCACAGAATGGATGTTTTCTAAGTGGCTGAGCTATTTCTCCACTGTGTTTGTGCTGGTTGTCACAACTGGTAGCCGAGGACTCCCAGTGCCAACAGGCAGGGGAGGTTTGTTTGGGTTACTGAGTGTTCTCCAGTTGTGCACTAGTCAGCAGAGAATACAGGTCCCCTAGAGTGGTGTTCTCAAAGCGGTAATGTGATGTAATTCCTTACCAATTGAATGCTTGGGTGGTGGTTCTTCCTCATCACCGGTGGTTTCCTTGCTTTAAGATCCTAAAAATATAAAGCATCTGAAAATATTTGTGATGATTCTCAAATCACTCACATTGTATTTCCCATCTGATGCTTTCAGGTCTCAATTAAGGGAGAAAAAAGGCCACTTTTTCCCTAGGACCTTAATATGAGTACAGATATCATTAGTGGATGTCTACCAGCTCAACATCTCTCTTCCGGCAGCAGTACAAACAGCTGGTGGCTGTTAGGGGCGAGCAGAGAGCCCCAGCTATACTCAGATTAGAAGCAGCCACAGGAATTACTTAGAACTTGTCTCTATGGTATTTGATGTGCTGGATTTGTATGTCTTCCTACCTTACTCAGTTTCGAAAATAGGCTTCTAGGCAATTGGGGCAGTGCTTTTCATAGAGCCTAATGCCAAGGACACAAAACTGGAGACTGCCTGGCTGCTGGTTCCTGAAGCACCGGGGATCTGTGGGAGGACCCCAGTGGCTACAAAACCCAGGTAGATTCTCCACAGATGCCTTTGCAAACCTCAGTGGTTGCCTCACAGCTCTTTGTCTCTTTGCACTTTTTCTTCAGCCACAGGACTCAGAGAATCCGTGTCATTAAGGATGTGACTTCCCCCTTGTCCTTTCTTTCCCTTGGAAGAGTAAAGGGCTAAAGAGATGGCAAGGTTGAGAGGTAGCATCATGGCTGAGAGACTGCCACATTACAGGGCTACTGGGAAAATAAGGAAAACATCAAGTGAAACCGGAAATAAGAAAAACATCAGGCATCTTACGAGTGGAGAAGGAATTTATAAATATAGAAAGAAAGCTATAAAGAATCTAGAGGTTTGGATTGGGTTAAAAGTGACTGTGAACACTTTTAAAACTCTGTGTGTGTGCACCTGCACACACACATACACAATTTTTATTGTTGCTCTCTTCAGTCAGAGGCCAGAAAGAAAGGACACATCAAGTGGCTAGAAGATCTTGCTTTCTAAATGCCACTCTGCATTAAAAGAAACCAGGCCTGATTGTGGCCTAGGCTGGGAAAGTATAAAGTGATCTTGGAACTTCCTGTAGGGAAATGCTCAAAGCATAACGGTAATATGTCAAAGGACACATAAGCCAGCTCCAAGAGATTTATTCCTATGGGCCAAGTCCAGGACCTGTTGAGTAGAGGGTGACTCTATATTAATGTAAGTAAATTATGAAATAAATAAATAAATGGGGGAGATGAACAGTATTTCCTGATGATAGAAATGCATACTAATTGGGATTGATGGAAGTAGAGTCACCATTTGACAGTGTTGGTTGATTCAGGCATGTGGATGAGTATTTGATATAAGCAGGATATTAGCCAGCACTTGAAGTATCTCCTGAAAAAATGCTTACTGCTTATAAAAGGGGATTTGATGGTTCTATTGAAGAGAAGCTTAGGCACCAAGTGGACAAGATGAACACCACTGGTCACAGACTGAGTCATATGCACCTCCTAGAAGATCACGAAGCATTTCTGTCACATTCCAGCCAGTGACACATGGTCTTGGCCTGGACGTGAGAATACACAGGTGGGCCCATCTGAGAGGCAACCTACCATGAAAGGAGGATGTCCTGTAATACTCCTGAGATTGTGAAAGGCAGAAGAACTGATAGATCCATGTTGAAAGATTCAAGAGACATGACGCCTAAATGCTGCAAATGATCCCAGATTGGTTCTGAACTAGAAAGGAAAATTAAATGGTTGAGAAAAATCAAATGAAATCTGTGGAAAGGATGGTATATTAAATCAGGGTAATTTTCTGATTTGGATGCATACATTGATCTTTGTAGAACAGCACCCTGGGCAGGGGGATAACATACGATGAAGTATTTAGTAGTGATGAGATATTCTGCTTGCATCTTGCTCGGAAATGGTTCAGACAAAATAACCTGCCTATAAAATCTTTATTTAAACTGGCCACACTTTTACCTGGAGCATGGTTTATGATTTTTAAAAAGTCACATTTCCCTTCAGATTTGTGCTGATGGTTTTCTTCCAGCACAGTTACTCACTTTTCCAAGGGTATTGCTTGAAGCCCTGAGCTGGTGGCTATTTGGGGGAGAACAAAGAATCCTTGATACATTTGCCCAAAGATATAATATCCTTGTGGAGAAAACATCTCTATTTCTTCATGTAACAGTATTTAGTGAGTACTTTCATGCCTAAAATAGTATTCCAAGAACTGAGTATACAATTGGGAACAAAAGAGGTTAGGTTTCTGGTCTCATGGAATTTCCACTTGGGAATTGGAGAAGACAGAAATTTGTAAAGTTTTAGATTATGTCAGGCAATAATAAGTACCATGAAGAAAAAGAGTGTGAAGGTGACTTATTTTACATAAAGTGCTATGTATCAGGTCAGTTGCTCTGATGAGATGTTTGAATCAAATCCTGGAAATGGTGAGAGATCCATATGGATGTTAGAGACTGCTTGTACCAGGAAGAGGGAATCATGAGTACAGTGGTTCTGAGGAAAGGTTTTATTTTCTGTGCTAAATCTCAGCAAAGAAACCATTAAGGGTAGAGCATAAGAGAAACAGTGAAGGAGATGAGATCACAGAGATGGGGGAAGATTGTCAGTGGCCTTGTAGTCAAGGGTGAGGACACTTTGCATTTCATTCTGGGTAACAGAAGAATCCTTTGGAGATTTTGAACAGGTTATATGATGTGGATTTTGTTGTTGGGTTGTTTTTCAGTACTAAGAGTCCCAGTACCACCTTCTCCTTAAAAACAAACAAACAAACAACTGAGACAGGGTGTTGCTAAGTTGCTCAGACTAAGTTTGAACTTGTGAGCCTTCTGCCTCAACCCCCCAGAGTCCTGGGATTACAAGAATGCACTGCTGCGCTGACTGTATGATGTATATTAAAAGATTTATTCTAACTATACTGCTGTACTGGAAAGTATAGAAGCTAGAAAAGTGATGAGGAGCTATAACAATAATTCAGAAAATAGTAACTTGTGTTAGGAAGTAGCAATGGATGTGTTGAGAGGCTACTGGCTCCTCAATGTGTGTGTGTGTGTGTGTGTGTGTGTGTGTGTGTTCAGTACTGGGGACTGAGCCATAACTTCATAAATGCTAAGCAAGCACTGTACCACCGAAGTACATACCTAACCTTTTTTATTTTGAGATAAAGTTTTGTTAAGTTACCCAGGCTGGACCTCGAACTTTCGACCCTCCTATCTCAGACTCCTAAATTGCTGGGATTACAGGCATGAGCCCCAACAGCTCTTCAGTGTGTTTTGAAAATGAACCAAATAGTGTTCTATAATGCATTTGGTGTGAGACATAAAAGACAGGCAGGAGTCAAGAAGTAACTTGCCAGAGAGGGTTGTCATTTTCTAAGATGGGAAAGATTGCAAGAGGAACTATTCTGGGTAAGGGTCAAGAGTTTTAGACCAATTCAAGGTGCCTAAAGGTATCCAAAATGGCAATTTGATGTAATT